AATATAATTGTTGAGGATTTATGTCCATTTTTAACTTCTCTGCAAAAACTCACATTTAAGCCTCTCTGCATTTCAGGTGCATCATTTAAAGACCCTCAGAGGAAGGTATTTCATTTTACATTTGAAATTTTCTTCAGCAAAAAGATCAAAAAAAATAAGTTCTCTATTTTAATGTTCCCCCAATGGAAAGCTCTCAAAACTGTCTTTATACCTCATGTCACAGATCAAGGTGATCACCACCATGCTAATGGAAGTCTCTTCTCCCACGGCTACTGAGCAAATAGCTCATTTGTAAAGATGTGCATTACAAAGTGTTGCCATTAGACAGGAATCTAGAATATACAAAATGTCCTAGAGATATTTAAAGGGAATTTACTGTTTCTCTAGATCTTACATGTTAAATTGAAAGTGAAGCTTTAGTACATTTTCCATGTTTCATTTGAGAGTTTAAGCTACCAAATAGAATCTGAGCCTGCACAACCTGTTCCATCTGTACGCTTTATTGAATAATGGGATGGGATGTTCTAGAATGCCACCATTTCTCATGCTCTTGTTAAAAGCCAGTTAATATAGTAAATCAATTTCTGGAATGGGGATTTTGTGCTGTGCATTTTATACTTATAGACTGACAACATCAGGAATAATAAAGGACAGAAGAACAAATCTCAAAAGGGAACTACTAATGAAGAGAACTGTGGCAGCATACTGCATGTGAGAGGATATATAAAAGAGGTGGCATAATGTATACGAGTGTGGGCTCTAGAGCAGACAGCCTGGGTTGAATTCCAGCTCTCCTGTGTTCAAGATATGTGAACCTAATAAGCAAGTTACTCAATCTGTCTTGGTTTTCTCATCTGTAAAATAGGGATAACAACAATACCTAAACCCTCACAGTTTGTTATGAGGAGTAAATGAATTAATATATGTAAGGCACTTGAAACAGTACCATGAGTTTTAGTTTCTCTTTTTCCTTCTCCTTTGTTTTGCCATCATTTACCTAAAAGATAATCCTAAATGATACTATAGTAGCTTAAAACTTACAAAGTTGGCAAATGCAAACCTAAGTGGTTCTAAAAATCCTAAGATGAAAGATTTTGCATAGAAAAGATGGAGTTGGCCTCTTTACATGCTAATTTCTCTTAATAAATAAACTTATTTTTCCAAAACGCACCAGTTAATAATTACTAATTAATATTAGAGATTAAAATGAATTTCCTTGCAAATCATCATCTCCCTGATAAAAAGGCACGCTAAAACCCCCACCCTCTACTGAATGCACCTCTCCACCTCATCAGGAGATGTGACACTCCCC